TCATAATTAACTCACTCATCGTGAACTCTTGATAAGATATCAAGGAAGTTCCAGACTAGAAAGAAGACTTAATATTGCTTTTAAGTTTGTAAAATGTTTGTATATAAATCATTGTGTATAATAACTGTTTGTAATAATTGTGTTATTGTTTGTATATTAGAACATTTTTGTATTAGAAAAGAAAATTGGTTGTATCAATGTTGTTGGCAAATATCATAAACTGACTATATTTCAGATTTTACTTAACTGCTAAATCCAAAGTACAATTTAACAACTATATTTAAATTATCATTTTGCTCGGTATCAGACCATTTGAAATTGTAATACGTAACGGATGTCTGCAAAGTCAACATGCATAAGCCTTACCTAGGATGGTAGAATGGAAGTTCCTTTTCCCTTCTTCTTCCTGGTATGGAGATGAAGATGGTTGAGACCTCCTACCAGAGACCAGATGACACATAACTGATGCCACCTGGTTTTGGAATGTACACCCACAACATACGGTCTGATGAGCCTTAACCACACTACTCCACATCACATTTTCATTGTCCATTCTGTGATTTTGGACTGTTTTTGTCTTCTGCCTGTCTTGGCAACACATATCTTCACTATGGGCAAAGAGTATACCCTGGTACAAAAAGTGTGCAATCTCCCACAGGTGTGCCCCTATATTTTTCTAGGTATCGGGTATCACTGTACATGGGTTCTCTTCAGACACTTTCTGAGAGGCTCATCTAGGTAAATTTTGCATTGGTCCCTCCACCACTTCAGTGTAGGATTCTAGTTAATATGTGAGAGGAAGTACGGTATGGTATTGAAAGTTATCACTTTTTCCAACACTGAAAATGTATTTCCTGTAGATACTAATCTCCTCTCACACTTCACACCCATTCTCCCTACTTCCAGTGCATCTTTTCATGCCTAATCTCAAATTAATGTTTAAACAATCAGTATAGAAGGATTCAGCTACTCTGGAGGGGTATGTTGCATACTACAGTGCAGCAATAGCACATGGAAAAGTGTGAGTTTAGGTGGTAGCTTCAAGGATAGTGGCAAGCAAAAAAATTGCACATATACAGACAGGGCAACACAAAATCAGGAAAAGCTAACATGTGAGATATCTATCGGAAATTTATTTCAGTATTGGACAATGTTAACTTTCCAAAGTAAGTAAAAAAGAGGGCTTTTCCATCTTATTGTAATAAATCAGTGTAATAGAAAACTGTCAGTTGGTAATAATCCTTTTAATCCTTGGTTCATATATTGATTTAAGAAAACACTTGAGTTTTGTTGCTGTACTAAAAACTGGCATGAAAGTTATGAACTTTCTTATGTTTTGGTTAAATCTAGTTTTTCTTAAACTTATTAAAATATTCATAAATCTGTACTTTATCATAAAGTGATATGTCAATTCCATAATGCTATATTTGTTTTTACAGATGGCCAGTGTCAGAATCACAAGCCAACATATGACAGTAAGAAGCTTTTCTAGTATTTATATCAACTAAATAAATGATGCACTTTTTTGTGTTCAGCAAGTTGATTGGCATAGCTTCTTAAATTTGTAAAATGTTCTTTACTTCAGCAGGTTAATGCATCATTTTTGACCTTTTCTTGTTAACCTGATTCTTACCTAGTATTTTTGAGTCTATCAACTTCTAACTAAATCATTTTCCTAACTTTTTTCAACCCTCCAACTACTTGACTTTGTCATAATGCTGCATATAAATTTATTATAAACATAAAACTAGTAATCTTGCTCATTCTTGTGCATTATCTATATCTCCTATTCCATATAGTAGTTTAAGACATTGTTTCAACAAGTGTTATTGAAGCTTTATGTGTGTTATTTTTGTCACCTTTTACTTTATTTTACTTTCTTGCTTTATTGACTTGGACATAAATACAATTGAAAAGATATTGTTATACATATATGTTTATTTATTTATTTTATATATAACTACCTTCATTGTGCACTGTTCTGTCCATCACTTTCAATATTTCACTTTAGGATGTCCCACAACTGATCATTTACATTTAAACTAATTGCAGTCAAGCTCCACACAGTGATACACTTGACACTTTTGATGGTCTTATAAAGCCATTCAAAATGTATGCAGCTTCATATGAAAATTTCAGTTGCAAATAATTTCAATAAAGCATTTCTATCAACATTTGTTTTTTGCATAGAAATCTGATACCCTAACGTTTCTTTACATTTTCCAGAAATAACTGACATGTTTCAAGCTGTGATGATGGCATACATGCTTTTTAACTTTGTTAACTCTTAACCCTATTATGACGACCTATAACTTTTGTAAGTAGGTTACGTAACTCTCTTGAAAGTTCTTTATAAAAGTGAAACTAGTGGATAAAATTGTTTTAAATTTGACATGAAGTTTTCTAAAAATATGTAGTTTCAGAAAAATATTTAATTTTTTGTACTATTTCTAACAAAAAAATTTCATTATTTAATGTAGTTATTTGCACTAATACTCTGAATAGTTAATATGCAAGGTGATTTTTATTTGAGTATAAAAATACTATTTATTATCTTAGTTTTCACATTTCATTTGCATAATCTCTAGAGCCTCCTAAGTGAATACCAAAAGTTTTTTTAAGGTAAATGTTTATATTGTATTTTCCACTTTCTCTACTATCTCACTGTTAAATCTATCTATTGTCATCAACACAAAGTGTAATGAGATGTTTAAAATCAACATAAAGAAATATGTACATACCTTTCAACTCTTCGTAGAAATTCACTGGAATAGTCATCTTTTTCACATATGCATAATTTCACATCTTTATCTTTCCACTTATAGTTTATTTTTAATTTTCCTTTCAAATTTTTTGTCTTTATTTATGCAAATATATCAATTGATGCCAGCGAGACTTTAGGAAGTTTTTTTCGGCAGACTCCCTGCAGAGATGCATTGCTGAAACAAGATGGCACTTTCATAATCTAGGCAACAAGTAAAACTTATAAAAATCATTAAACCATTCAAATATGATTTTTAAAACACAAATAATACATGATTAACTAAAATATAAAAGTAAGACCTAAATGCAGTTTGGCTGTCTGACTATAGCATATTTAGGTAACAAACCACTGTAAATGCTATAGTTGGTCAAGCACACAATAATACTACAGGCAGTTACATCTACTTTAATATGAAAACTGCATGCTAATTTCAAGTTAACTGTTGGTGGAGTATAGTGTAAACTGAGTTCTTTCTAATGACTATATACACTTGTATCAACTCACTACATGTACATTGTAAATTTCATGGCAAACTTTAGAAGTTGGGCATGGCACCCATTAAGAGTTGGAAAAGTTATTTCTCTTTTCCCAGTGAATACAGTTGTGAGACTTTTTATCTTATGTGTCAAAAGGCCACATATATGTGTACATTGGCATCTAGACATTCATATACATTACAAGCTTTCGTGTTTACACTCAGCTCCTGCTAAAGTTGAGATTTTCCATAGTGAGTAGATTACATGACAAGAAAACTGCAGTTTGAATATTTTTTTAAACATTTCTTTTGAAACAAAGGAATTAAAACTTAGATAACATAAAAATTCAAATTATAACATCCATTATAATGTTAATTTTGGATAGTAAAGTTGTCTAATTAAATTTTGAATGTAACTCAGTAACGTGCATAGAAATGAATTTAAAATAGCATTGTTCTAAAAGAGTTAAATGTACAATAAGAAAAACTATGATTGGCATTCATAAGTTTCATTAGTTATGTTGATATAACTTTTACAAATTTTGAACTTCACTATTATAACTTGTAAAATTCTCGGTACTGAAACAATTCCATCGTAGTTGTGTTCATTCAGCAATAGGATTGCAACAATTTAACATCTTAACTCGAAATTTGATCACTTACTTGTAATAAAACAAGGCTTTCTGCTAAAAACCATGAAATTAAAATATATCTGTCATCAGGAACCGTTATTCATAAATGGAAGTGTATGAGGGTACAATGGATAAAAAAGTATATTACATTTACCACATCAAAGTGTTTTTATCCATACTTCTGTCATGTTCTGAAACCTCCTAAGAATAAACAGGTATAACATCTTAATCTGCTAGTACTTATACTAGACCTATCAGCCTTACTTCAATGGTGCAAAAAGTTTTTGAAAGTCTGATAAAAGATGCTTTAAGCTAAGCTTAAAAAATTTTTGAATAGTCAATATGGTTTCACTAGGGGAAAATCTTGCCTTACTAATCTTTTGACATTTTTTTGAAGAGGTTACTGCTTATGTATATAAGGGTATGGGTGAGCATTTTGTGCATCTGGATTTTCCGAAAGCATTTGACAAGGTGCCACATTATAGGCTTGTTAAAAAAGTTATCTCTGTAGGTGTGGGGATTAGGTTGGCTCATTGGATAGAAAACTTGCTGGATAGAGAAAGCAGAGGGTTGTTATACGTGGGGTTCAGTCAAACTGGATTAATGTCACAAATAAGGTACCTTGGGGCTCAGTGTTAGGACCTTTGCTCTTTTTGATTTACATCAATGACATAGATGAAGGAATGTTCAATAGATTATTTAACTTTGCCGATGTCTAAAGATTTGAGTATTGTTGTCTGTGAGGAGGATGCTGCTTTACAAAAGAATTTGGATTATTTGGTGAGTTGAGCAAATAGCTTTTAATTATAATAAATGCAAGGTAATGCGTGTGGAATATCACAATTTGAATTATGAGTATAATTTTGATGGGAATAACCTTAACAGTGTTATGAAAGATAAAGATTTTGGTGAATTGTTGTAAATATTTCAGAAGAGGGCTACTAATCTTATACCTGGGATGGAAAGGTTGTATTGCAAGGATAGATTAAGATCTCTGAAATTTTGACAGAGTAGGAGTTTCAGCTAAGACAAATTTTTAACAGTGTAGTTGTCATTGGAATGGGTTGCCTTCAAGTGTGGTAGATGCAGTTAATTTAAGAAAGTTTAAGAGAAAGCTTGAAAAATATTTGGATAAGAGCTGGCTTTGAGTTTTTTAGTGTTTGAATGGATAGGACAGCCTAGATGGACTAAAAGGTCCCTTGTTTTTCTTTAATGTTATGTAAATGTTCATAAGGGTTAACGTTTTTGTTTGCATTTAATATGGTTTAGCATATTTTTTCAACATCTAAGCAAACTAATGCAACTTTACATCATATTGTGGTTTTGAGTTGTTAATTATAAAAGTAAACACATGGGTAAAGACTTACAAAAACATGCAACACCCTGCTAGTACAGTACAGCCAATAATTATCCTTAGTATGATAACTGAAGTTAATAAAACAATATTTACATAAGGAGGAAATAGAAAAAAAAATCCTTAATTTTTCTATTAAATTATATATATAATTAGAAAGACTTGTTAACAATAGATAAATGCATCAACACAGCAGATAATGGAAATATAATTTTTTTTATATGAATGAATATTAGGCTTTTCATAACAATAATGCTAATGTACATGAAAGTATACACAATTTTTATATTTCAAGGAATTTTATTTCACCAAAGTTTGAATATTCTTGATAGTTTAGTGTTACAGTTGTAAGTAATTATTTCTATGTACTAACCCAGAATAAGATATTTTATTAAATGGCTTATATATACATATATAAAAGATAAGAGTATTCTAATGTTATAGAGTATGAAGAAGTGTGCAATGTTGTAGTTAATTTGGTTCATATAGATAACTTACACTGTTTAATCATGAAACTCCTAAGTACTTCAAAATGGTCATATAGTTTTGTGTCTTTTTTTGTTGTTGTTATTTTGCATTGAAATTTCGCACAGCAGTACAAAAGAACAAAATCAGTTCATGGCTGTAGCTCTACATAATATTTCACTAATGCTGAAAAAATGACTGTTTTATGAAAGCTTACTGACTCACGGGTCATTGGCTTTCAATATGTTAGAAACTAAAGGCAGGATATCTTATACATATAACGGCTTAGTAGATTTAATATGTGTTATCAAAAATCTATACTTTTGTAGTAGTTTGAATTGTTAAAATTTGCCTTACTAGCAAATGCTACTGGATTAACACTAGTTAGAAGAGCATTTTCCTGTGTGTGTGATAGATCTCTGGTTGAAACCTGAAGTGAGGAATATATATTGGGAAAAAAAGAAATTATCATAACTTAATAGCTTTGTTCAATGGTTACAACAACTACCTAGTTACCAAGTAACGTGAAATTGAGTTATGTAGGTATAAGCCTAATGCACAGAAGTTTATTATTCATGTTGTTTTATTGATAAATGTGAAATCATAGCCAGTTTCTTTTAATTCAAAGTATAGAATATATAAGCAGTTTTACACTATGAAAAATGACCAAACATGTAGTTAACCAGAAGTTAACAAATATTTTATGCTGGATAACAAACAAAATCATTATTTGAAACTCTAGGTGATAGTAAATATAACCACATATATAAACTTAGTATATATATATATATATATATATATATATTTACAAAACTGAAGTCAGTTACTAGAAGTTCACTAAGAAAATAAGTTGTTTAAGTCATCATTGTATACTTAGCAATAAATGTGTAATCATTTTGCCAAAGTGTTTATGATATACATGAAAATATAATGCTGAATTCAACTCTCTATATTTCTTTTATTACCTGTATTCGTTGAAATACGTCCTGTTGTTTTTTTCCAAGGAGAGAGAGAAAGATCTCTGCCAACTACTGCCAGCTAGAACTTTGTTTGAAGGAAATAACTTAGTATATACTGTAGGAAAGTATCAATGTCTATACATAGAAAAAAGTTTTAATGCTGAAGGTGGTGAAGATGTAGCAAAACATTCTGTAAATAAACTAATGTAGATTGAAAACTTACATATGTATTTTATTTTAAGGCACTCTGCTTAGCTACAAACACATGCAAAGATATAATGCTTACAGTAAGCTGTGTTCGGGGTTTAAACTGTGGACTTTTAATATTTCTTTTATACGAGTATTTCTATATATATATAATTACTGAAAAATGTAATCTTAGCATGTCCAATTAATTGATTATAGATGTATTCTTTACTCTTAAATTCAATCAGTATAGTAATAGTTCAGCCAGTTATCTTAAAAAGATCACTGAACTGAATATGCTATAAATTTGTAACATTTGACACCCAGTTTGATAGTTATAACATTTACCACCACCCCAGTGGCACAGCGGTATGTCTGCAGACTTACAATGCTAGAAACCGGGTTTCGATCCCTGTGGTGGGCAGATCACAAATAGACCATTGTGTAGCTTTGTGCTTAATTCCAAACAAACAAACAAAAACAAAAAACATTTACCTCGTTATAAGTTTTGTGCTCAGAACTTGTTTTGACTTCTTGATTATTTCTTCACAAATATTTTTCTTTCGTTTATATAGTAGGTCAGAAACTTAAGCCTAGAATTACTAATTGGGATGCCCTTATGGATAACAAAGTTTTTAATTGCTTGTGAATTTATGATTTTATTGGTATCAGGATCCTTAATAATATTTGTTGCACAAAATTATTAAAGAAAAATGATATCAGTGTTGTAATTAATCCCATTACTGCTGGAGTCCCATTGTACTTTACAGAGAAAATAGTGATTTCACCCAATTTTATGGGTCATTCCTGTACACTGAATGTTATATATGGATTCCACCAATAGTGTATGTAAACTTGTCTGTAATTTTAGGTTTAATGGTTTTTTTTACTTGGGTGCTTGTAATCTTTCATAACATATCAGAATCATTCTTTCACCATTTTGTTGTATTAATTTCTTAATATAGTATTTTGTACTTGAACAGGAGGAAAACATAGACATGATCTCAAATGGTAAAAGGAATATTTTGGTAGTAAGTCAGTTTTCTTGAAGAAAAACTTGAGAACCTATATCCACATTGTAAATGAACAAGAAAACAGAGTATATAATTTTTAAATAATACCATGCTACCTTTATTTATCATTGTGGTTGCTAAAATTTTACTTTGGCAATATTTTTTAGTTATCAAGGTATTGAATTTAAAATGGTTTAATTATCCCACAATACCCTATATTGCGAGAGTAAAACAACAAGTTGCATTTCCAGAGATATCTATGTCACTTTCTTTTAGATCCTAAAAATACTGACGTTACCTTTTAACATTATGCAGTTTTATTTCTATAAGTCAATTTATTTTTCTTGCTGTAAACTTTAAAATCAGTAAGCCTTATTTTTACTCATTTATATATTTACAAAGTGAAACATATACCTTTTATTTGCTTAAACTGAAAGAACTTCTTCCACACCAGAGGATAAGATGGTTAATGTTTATTCTTATTTGCTTTACAAGCTTATTCAACCATGGAAATGACTAAGAAGCTGTTAATAAATTTTCTTTGTCTTTCTGAGAGAGGAAGAAAAAATAATTTCTGATGATTTAAGTTTCAGTATAAGTTAATATATTCTACAGCACAGAAGAGACTTGAAATGATCTATGTTAAAAATCTTAAGAAAACTAACTTATTGAGCAGTTTAACCTTTCATTTGTATAGCTCATTGTTTTATTGTGTGTAACACACACATTAAGCATAGTATATGTCTTTACCTAAGATATGGAAATTAGATAGAGTGATATTTTATAAGTTTGTTGACTTGCCTGTCCTTTTATTTTCCTTTATTGGGGCTAACCATGTCTCATCTAGTATCTTTATGCCAAAGAAATATGTTATTACATATTATATTATGGTACATTTTCCACCTTTTTAAAGCAATACTTCAAGGCTTAGGAATTAAAATTGGTGTCACCTTTAACAGGAGTAAGTTCCAGGTTGACATATTTCTACACTTTGTTACAGAAAGAAGCTAAAAGTGGAGAAGTCCCACTTGCATTGAAAGTGTAAGCATTGATTTCTCAAACCTTCAGAAAATTAAATACTAATACAGGCATTAAGTGACAGTTGTGTAAACTTTCTGTTTTTCAGATGGGATTGAAAACAAATTGTTTTGTCTTACTGTTAATAAGAAAGAGATACTATTCAAAAGAAACTCATTCCATTTTTATTGAGAGCTCTACTACTAATAAAGCAAATGATCGAGTTTGTTATAAACCCAATGGATTATCTGAAGGGATGGTAAAGCTGTGAAAAATATGTAAGTATAATATGAAATTTTAAAGCTTTCACAACTATTCACTATGAATATTTATGCTGTACACCACACTGTTTTACCATATATATATACATACAATATATATAAAGGAAGTTTAGTGACATTATGAAGGTCATCCTGTTTTTATTTACATAAAAATATATAAGAAAAGAATAAAAACTATTTTTCTGACAGAGATGAAACCAATGAAAGGAGATCACTGATTCCAGGATCTAGATTAATACCAAAAGGTAGAACAGTGTTGAGATTAGCAATCGAATAAGTTTCTTTTGTTTCTCTATCTTCTTTAGTTTTGAATTCTGTTTCAATGCCGATGAGAGTAACATCATTAATAGAATGACCAGGTTGGTTAAAGTGATGAGCAACAGGAAGATATTTTTTGGTATTGATAGAAGATTTATGATTCTTTGCATATATTTTTCATGTAATGTGAATGCTGAATTTCCTAAAACTTACTATTTATTTTAGATAATTTTTCATACCTGTTTTTATAAATTGATTAGCATAACATATCTTTTTCAATCAGTCTCCAGGTGTCATCCTTATTTTACTTAAACACTTAAGTATAGTTTTAAATATACATATATTTATCCATTTCTAAAGTAAAACATTGTTAACACCTTTTCACATACACTCACCATCGGCTACACTGTACCAGAAATGAGATGCTTACAACAGTATATAGAGAAATAGACTAAACATTTCCTGGAAAACCAGATGACCTTCATGACATCACTAAACTCCCTTTATATATATATCACTCATTCAATTACACCACCATTCCCAGTTTGCCCCTGAAGAAGAAAGGTCCACCTTTTGAAAGTGCTCAGGATATAGGGTTTTTATTCATTTCTATCAAGACTTCTTGAACCTACGTGTTTTTCTAATATCGTGAATGTACCACCACGTGAGGAACATGAACCCATTTCAGGTAAGTATACTCTTTTATTTCCTAACATAGGCATTTTAGGTGATTCAATGCTTTAGTACCTACTCAAACACTTAACTTTTATTAATGGACACCAAATCCTGTCAAAATTCATCACTGAAGATAAAATAAATGATGCCATAGTTATGACCAGTTCTCTTCCTGAATTCATCTGATTTCTAATAATTCACTTTGGTACTAATGACCTGAAACAATCCGATAAGACTGTTGAAGACTGTTTTTCAGAACTTGAAAACACAATAGCACATATCTTCAGCCTCAGACCACACATTAAACTGGCTATCTCTAGTGTAATATACAGACATGTGAAGAGACACACTTCCACTGATTGCAACACACAAACAGTGCAATAATTAAACAACTCAACAACAAAATTCAACATTTTAATGAATTAGCTATGCAGACTTAACCCCCAACTTGCTTTCATCAACGACACAAACCTAATACCACTCACTAATTTTCTTGCATGAGATAGACTTCACCACAAGTTTTCTGGTATTTTTACCCTGGCCTCAAACTTCAAATACTTTATTTCCCAAAGCATTCTCCCACTCTTGTCTTCCTTTTCTAAGTTACCCCAATCATCTCCTATTTCTACTTCTAATAGTTCTTCTACCCTTCCCTGTCCAAATTCTACATTTCTCCCTATCTCAGAAGCTACCAACGTCTCTCACAATAATACCTCTGTCGCTCAATCTACCCAGCTAAACACTCATCCACTCTCTTACAGTGATCCTTCAAGTTCTTCTAAAGGACTAAACACAAATAACACTTCCCCCAAAACATCAAAAACAGCAACATTCATTCTAATTATGCTTCTGTTGTTCGTTCTTGCTTGCCCAGAAACCCTTACACTCCCTTATCTACAAAACTACACCAAATCACTACCAATGTAAGCGCTACATGTTCCACATTACATTCTTCACCAGTCGATCAGTCTCTTGTAGAATTACCTTCATTAGAACACAGTAGTCTTTCATCTGTTAGCATAAGCTCTCAGAATGACCAGCAATGCACTCCACACTCTGAAGAAGATAGTTACTCCCCTCTTCCTTCCCTCAAACTTAACCATTCTCTATCTCACAATTACAACGACATCCTCACACCAATATCTGTCAACATTCAATGTGAACCAAGCAGCGAATCACTCAAATACAGCGGAAAACAACTGTTTCAAAAACTTAGAAAACTCACTGAGAAATGCACAAAACATTGTCAACAAGTCGCTAGTGCATAACATACAAAAAAACGAAACGTACCTCAATCTCTCGCATTAAAAGCACCAATAACAATAGGAGCACATGGTCAGAACTTCTGCAACAAATGGTAACACTTCCTTAGAACCCATGAATATGACTAAAACATTCTGTTGATATTCTAGACAAAGAATTTTCCCACTATTATCACCTTTACAACCCTTCACTGGAAGAAAAAGAAGAACTTCAAAAATTTACAAAGAGAACTGATACATTCCTTCTCAAAAAGAATAACAAAAATCAGCTTCCTACCAAAAACACCAATTTAAAAAGTGCTTCTAATAACACTTTTTCAAACCCTCTTCTTTATCTTAAAGAAATTACCTTAACATAACGCAGTCTACCAGAAACTACTAAAATCCCCTTTTCTCACAATGAACAGCCTAAAAAAACGTTTAAAAACACTTCATCCTCTAATGCGCATAAGCCTTCTCAATCTAACAAATCTGTTGAAAATAATAGCAACCTCATAAAACGTACAGATAATGATGAACACTTCCAACATATCTCCAACATTGTTAATCTTTCAGACATAACTCTTTCTGAAACAGAACTGAGTCCTCATAGTAAAGGTCTCAATTTCTGCCCAAATAACAGTTATGTTAATGAGGCCGAACTTCTTTCTGTCCTTCATGAATTCTCTAGAAAACTGAGACTTCACAAATTTTTTCACAACAAAACCCACCCTACTGAAAATCAACATACACTGAACTTTAAAGAAAAGTCTTTATGGACACCTCCTCTAAACAGAGAACCACATTTAGAGAGTTATATTAAAGCAGTAGAAAATGACATAATACAGACCTTAAAATCTTCAAAGCAATGTCCTTATAATATTAACCAAAATGAAAGAAGTGTTTTAAACAGTCTTAAATCGAACAACAATATCATAATAAAGCTAGCAGACAAGGGTGGAGCTATTGTTATTCTTAACAAAGATGACTATATCACGGAAGCTAACCGGCAACTAGAGGACACTAATTTCTACAAAAAACTCGCATGATCCTACAACTCACTTTATTAAGACCATAACTGATAAGCTTAAATAACTCCAAAAAACAGTAAGATTAACAAAGAGACCTTTCAGTATTTGATACCCAGATAAGCTTTTTCTGGTAGATTTTATCTCTTACCCAAAATACACAAACCAAACAATTCTGTCCGATCTATAATTTCTAATATAAACATGGCTATTGAAAAGCTGTCCGCTTTTGTTGACCAACACATAAAATTTATTCCATGTACCCTCCCCTCTTACATAAAGGATACTAATTATAAAGGATACTACTCACTTTCTTAACATCATAGAAGATATTAATACTAATGGACAGTTACCACCCAACAGCCTTCTTTGCACGATGAATTTTTCTTCCCTTTACACCAATATTCCACATGATAAACGACTACAAGCTCTAAAGTCTGCATTAAATCTTTCTGAACAATCAGAATTTCAAATAGTAACTGATCTTGCCAGCCTGGTTTTAACTCTGAACAACTTCAAATTCAATAATGAGCATTACATTCAGGTTAACAGTACTGCAATGGCTACCAAAATGGCTCCCAATTATGCCAACATTTTTATGGGTCGTATTGAAAACCAGCTTTTACAACTAAGCCCTGTGAAACCTCATACATGGAAACATTACATAGATGACATATTTTTCATTTGGACAGCCGGTCTTAAATCACTTAAATAATTTATCTCGCATGCAAACTCCTTTCACAAAACAATCAAGTTTACCTGTGATTACTCGCTCACCCAGATTAACTTTCTTGACGTCACTGTTTTTCTAAAAGACAGAATTTTACATACTGACTTGTAAAAAAAGCTACAGACATACCACAATACCTTCACTATAAAAGCTGTCACCCCTCTCACAATAAATGAAACATTAATACAGTCAAGCTTTTAGAATAAAGAAAATATGGTCAGATGAAAGACTACAAAAAAACACACCAAGGATCTAAAACAAACCATGTTACAAAGAGGATATATAAAGATACCAAAATCGACAGACAAATTGAAAAGGCTAATAACACTCAGCGAAAAAACATCCTAAAACAGAACAATACTAAACTCTCAAATAGAATTTCTCATATTATTGCCAATCAGTTTAAACTCGGAAATGTTTCATGAATTCTGAAAAAACATTTTCATCTCCTACAACTGAACGATCACCTTAAACAGATATTTTCTGAACTTCCCGTTGTCTCCTTCCAAAAAAGCAGAACTCTAAAGAATGTCCTTGTTCACATAAAAGTGAATTACATCCCACCCAAAAATGTTTGTCATCCATGTAATAAAGCCCGTTGTCAAACCTGCAAGTTCTTAAAAACTACTAACTCATTTTCTGACAAGCACAATCAAAGAAACTCAAATATCCAAAGAAATCACTTGTGAAACAAAAAACACCGTTTACCTTATACAGTATAAAAAAATGCAGTTACCAATATTTAGGACATACACAAACAACTCTTAGAGAACGTTTCAACAACCATAAATCTTCTATTAACACTGAAAAATATCTCGCTCTTGCTCAACACTTTAACCAACTTGGTCATTCCATTAACGATGCTACTCTCATTGGCATTGAAACAGGATTCAAAACTAGAGCAGATAGAGAAGTAAAAGAAGCTAATTGGATTGCTAATCTAAACACTGTTCAACCTTTCGGAATTAATCTAAATCCTGGAATCAGTGATTTCCGTTCATTGGTTTCATCTCTGTCAGAAAAATAATTTTTATTCTTTGCATATTTTTTTCATGTAATGTGAATGCTGAATTTCCTAAAACTTACTATTTATTTAAGATACTTTTTCATACCTGTTTTTATAAATTGATTAGCATAATATATCTTTTTCAATCAGTCTCCAGGAGTCACCTTTATTTTACTTAAACACTTAAGTATAGTTTTCAATATACATATATTTATCCATTTCTAAAGTAGAATACCCCTAACACCTTTTCACATACACTCTTGCCATCGGTTACACTGTACTGGAAATGAGATGTTTACAACTGTACATAGAGAAATAGACTAAACATTTCCTGGAAAACTGGATTACATTCATAACATCACTAAACTCCCTTTATATATATATATATATATATATATATCACTCATTCGATTACACCACCATTCCCAGTTTGCCCCTGAAGAAGAAAGGTCCACCTTTCGAAAGCGCTCGGGTTATAGGGTCTTTATTCATTTCTATCAAGACTTCTTGAACCTACATGTTTTTCTAACATGATGAATATACATACAATGTTACAGTAAAAATTATGAGAAAGCACACCTCTAGCTACTATTAGGCCTGTCCCTTGGCACACAGCCACATATATTTTATAATGGTTAGGTAATTACACAGTCAGAAGGAGTCAAGATCCTTCAAAGACGAGTTTAAAAATCTTCACACAGGAGTGTTTTATAAAGAAAAGACATTTTCAAACTGTACTTTACTTGTCACTGAAGTTTATTTGTCCTGGTCGAAATCTGAGTAACGAATTTGATGAAGATCAACCTCTGTTATTCAGTGAATATTGCACTTACTGTTTCCAGCATTCCAACACTTGAAATCATTACATGGATGTAAAAACTGAGAGTGAACAATCTATAGAATTGTTAGTGGAGATTAAACAAACTATTTACATAATTCAATAGTACAAGCAAAATTATGATTTAACTAGAACTGAGAACCATATTTTAAAACAATTGAAGTCTGTCCAAGATATCTTCATTTTGTCTTAGGAAGTGCAGTTGTTGTAATGGACAAAATTTACTGTGAAACTAAAGTTTCTGACCTATAATGTGAAATATGCTACATGATGTCATTCTGTTTGCTACACAAAGAAGTTAACAATTTACTGAATATCCTGAAACAGAAAATCAAAATCGACCAGGTCATATACACTTAGATCCACAGCTGTATGATTAACCAAAAATACACAAATTATATAGATTAATAACAATTTTATTGACAATCCATCTTATAATGTAGCAAAGTATTTAACCAAACTGTTGAGACTTTTAGCTTTAAAAAGGTATGTGATCATCAAGGATACTTAAAGATGGTTAAAGATGCAATAAAACAAATGACAAATACTCCAGCTAGTTTTATTGTATAATTTATTATTTTCCAAAACTTGGAAATGATGATGTGCAACCAGAATGCCCAGCTCCTTCAGCTGATGATTAGTTGTCTCCTTACATCATCATACTTTCTTTGAAAAAAGGATATCTACATCATAACAGATGATACAGTTATGGATTCCACACAATCTTCTATTACCTATGAAATATTCCTACAAGAACTGAAGAATCTTATATTGTGCTCAGCTTTAAATATACATTCAAAATGATAGCATTTCATTGATTGCTTTATTATTATCTAGAATCATGACTGAACCCTCTGTCTAGTTTATAATTATAAACCACTAGCAGCTCTGTTTTAGTTTTTAAAAAAATTACCAAAATCTTCTCACTCAAACGTCCAGAAAGCCAATACAGTGATCTGTGTCTTCACCTTATGCTATCCTCCAACGGTCAAGCAAGGTATTCTCGGCTGTTTAGCTACCAGAGCCATTGAGACTGGTGAGCTTCACTTCATTGATGCTGAACTCAAATACTTACAAAAAATATTTAAGGAAAATAAGTATTTATTAAAACTGGTTCAGAAGCAGTTTTAAATGTGGCAACAAAAACAGAGAACATTTCAACCACAGAAAGACGAGCTTCCTGCAGCTGTACTGTCATGTTTAGCAGGACTGTCTTATAAAGTTTGTAAGATATGCCAATGACATAAAGTTCAAACAGTCTTGAAGAAAAATAAATCTCCAAACAATTTCTGTGCAAGGTCAAAACCAATTTAAAACCAGCCAAACAACAAAAGAAAGTAGTATATGTTGTTAAGTTTATTAGTGGTAAAGAATATGTTGAGCTAAGACAAACATTTGAAGATCTAAATATAAAAACAAAAATTCCATCATGAAACACAGGACTTTGTGCTTGTGAGAAAATGGCTGGGATAGTGTAGAAATAGGAGGCGCTGCAGAAAATAAGGGAAAAATGCATCAGCCCTGAAACTAATATATCAGCAAGAATTTTGGTGGGGCCAAGGTCTGTTTATTATGGGATCTTTCAACCTCAACGCTCAGTATCAGGTATCTTTTCATCCAGTTCCTGCCAAACCTCTCTCTGTGTTCCACATTTTCAAAACTTTCCTTTACTGCTACTTCTTCTTTCATGAAAACTGGTTAATTTTATTTTCTGTTTTTAGTTTATATTTCAATGAAGAATACTGTTGCATACATTTTGTGTGTGTATGTATATATATACCCGTGGTGGGTAGAGCACAGATAGCCCATTGTGTAGCTTTGTGCATAATTACAAACAAACAAACAATGTATATATATATATAATATATATATTTTGGTTTATTTTCCTAGTTATAATTTCAATACAGTACTGCCAATTGCTTTCTACAATTATTTTAACTTAATTTTTTGAGGTATTGTTTTTCTCTAGTGTATCTATCTGTATTTCTATACATATGTAACTTTCACTCATTCTGCTAAACGTGTTTTATATAATTTTTTATTCTTTGACAGTTCTTGCAATGTTGTCGTGTTTTTATAAAATTTATTGTAATTCTGTGAATCACAACAGTATTGTTATCCTTTCTCTTGTAGCTATTTCTTTTAGATAATTTTCTGTCAGTTCAGGTAGTTATTCCATCTGATAAAAAGCTCTTAAAATGTGTGCAGGTTTAAATAAACTTCAATTACATGTAAAGTATTAGATTGAAAATCTCTTACCTGAATGTACTTACACATGAATTAACCTTAAAAATGTATTAGGGATGGTGATTGAAGGCAGTGTGTATAGTATTCAAATCAATTATAGGCATTGATGGAAAACAAGTTAATGTGGAGTAGTAGTTTGACCACTGAAAAAGAGTTATGTGAACACGTTATGAAATGAGAGTTCAGGACATTCACCACATGCTAGATTACACAGATATATCTAATGTTAACCTGGAGAAAACTATGAATATATGACTGTCATTTCTCTACCTTGAAGAGTGCTGACAGTGTTATCATGATTCTTTAGCTGGTTTAGACTTGGTTCACTGGTAATACTTATAGATCAGCAAATACCTTGCTGTATTATGAGATTCTGAACATTGGTGCATTGCTTGCATGACTGATGTTTTATGGAAAGGACCCCACAGAACTGTACCTCTTTCAACAAGATGAATCATACCTCACCACATGCATTGTCCCAAGTAGTGGATTGAACAAATATCATCAAGACTGTCTTGTCCAACTCAAACCTCTTACCTTAGTCCAGTTACCATTTTGGAAGTTTTGGAATTCTGCCTGAAAGTCAGAAATCCCTCCGAATCTCACCTTTCAAGAAGCACACTTACAGAAACACTCTGTTCAACCAGATGTATGCTAACAGTCTGTAGTAAACAGTAGCAATATAATCTAAACTGTGATTAACATTAAAGGTGGTTCAAGACAATGTCCCTTAGAGTGGGGCTCTTTGACCTTCCCCCTTCCTCCTCAAGCACAGGTGCTCCAAACTTTTGGTAATA